GTATATGTCCATATCGTAGGCCCCATATAATTATTAACTCCAACTGTTGAGTCCCACACTTCCTGTGTGAGTACAAGCCTTGCCTTAAGGTGCTGAGCGCGTTTTCCTTTATCGTGGAGTACATTTCAAACAAAAATAATATTTGTTTAATTCACGAAATATATGTATAGCAGGGACAAAATAAATTCCTTTAATTACAATTTCGGTATAATTAAGTTTACCAAACTTAATGGTGTTTGTAAAATCCAGTACGTTCAGCGCTGTTTTAGTTGTAAATTGTGATTTAAGGAGTTTTATAGTATATGCGAGTAGTTCACTATTAAGCAAATTATGTATATTTTTAATTAATTTCAACTACGGCCCGACGCTTAAGATGCTCTTCAGCATTTGACCACTGCTGACTAATAATAATCTAAGAAAATACAGTAATACAATAAACCACAGTAAGAGTTTTATTTAAGTTTGGTTTTAATGAAGATTAAGTTAAGTCTGTATTTGACTTTCTCAAAATTACAGTTAAATGGACTTTAAGGAATGCAGTTATTCGTATTCTTAGTTATTTGAAGAAAATAGTTAGGTATTAATAGTTAGTAGGCCAGACAGCTTGGCGGACGACCAACACGGGGGCAATAATATAGACAATGGGCATCTGAAATGTCTCCTAAGTGACATATATAATATGATCACTTTATAAGCAAATGTGTACATTAGAGATATAAAGGGGGTTTTCCGGATTTTTTTTGGAATATCGTCTTCATCCGGTAGTTTAACTATGATAGGACCTGGGCTCATATACAAATGACATTAAATAAAGGAGATTTCAACAAAACACCTGCAACGAATAGTATATTCGGCAGAACACCGAATATTCGACAAAACTATTCGGTCAGATTTTGGCGCTTAAGTAAAAGCTGGTGTGTTTGTTTTAATTTTTGAACCAACCACTTCCTGCTACCCTCCTTGTTTTAAATAGTTGATGACGCTAAACTTTTTTCCAAAAAAATGATGACTATTATGATTTTCTTAAGGTGCAAAGCATAAGCCATTGAACCCTAATTCGCAAGTGTTAAGATTGAAATTTTACTGCACGAGAGGTGCAAGTATCAATTACTTATTTAAGTCTCAGTGTGATTTTCTCAAAAAGTAACTGCCTGCACATACCATGAGAGTAAGTACTTATTTACAGTTGACAAGCCATTACGGGCTATTGTTGTGCAGTGTTTGACCTGCCTTTATGGCTTTGCACTGGCACATTTGTCCATATGAAAACTAATGTTATAGAAATAATTATTTCCTTTTCTGTAAAACGTATTTGTTTCATTAGTACAGCACATGAAATGCCTAAACTTCCGCATTCATAGTTCCATTTAAATTGCACTGTTTTTTGTAACGTAAGCCATTAAAGAGCTCATGAATATGTAGCCAGGTTCTTGCCATTTATTTCAGCCACCAAGGTCATTTCACAATATTATCAGTTTTTGTGCTAGTTATTAGGACTTGTTTGGGACATTGTAGACACAGACAACATTATATTAATATTTATAGGAATAGATGTTTAATGTTAATGAAGGAAATGACAAACTTCGTGGGAAAATCGGTGTTTCATTTTATACCACTAATAGGTATTTTATCTCTGTCGAGGTATTTTTTTCGCAATACAACCTTAATACTTCTCTTTCGTTTGAACGTGTACAGTGCCATCTATGGACATACTACGAAACGAGTCACTTTCAACAGACTATTAATATAAAAGATGAGTTAGTATAGCATTGCCTGAACAGATGGCGCTTTTATAAATACCTAAATGATAGCAATTGTACAGGTTTTCATTACTAAAATAAGGATTGTATTGAAAATGCATATGTTTTATCGCTTATAATCGCAATAATATGTTTTTTATCTATTATGAAAATTAATACATTTTCTTTGATCATGAAAGCCTTATATTTTTGCAGATTTCTTTTTATGACAAGCGCCGGACTGGAACCGGGTATACACAGCGATCTTAGCTCTAACCAATTGACCTACTGTGTTCCATAAGAGTCCCTCGTGTTATCGAATTATGTCAATCTGAATACATTTTTAATTTTGTATTTTTCTGTCCCCATCTATTACAATTTAAAAATCACAAACAAATTTATGAAATTAAAAAAAAGTATTATGACACGCTAGCTAACACGGGAGGGAAGTAATATAACAATAATTTGAATAGCTTGTCTATTTTAAACTTTTCTTTGATTTGTTCACCGGAACACGGATACATTATGACAGTCTGTTTACATCATTAATATTATCGTGCATCATAATAATAAAAGAGGCGACGGTTAATAAATAGGAAAGAAGGTCAGAATTTGGAGCCAGAAAGAGCGAGAAAGACAACACGAAAAAAAGGTATTGTCAGTTGGGAAGAATTAATCTTCAAAACAAGGTTAGTTATAATTAATTTAACCATAAATATTGTTCATAGACTGTTTGAAAATTATAACACATAAATGCTATCAGCATGGAATATATTTGTTTCGACTTGAAGCACGTACTTCTTCACGCATAGTTTAATAAATAAACAGCTATTTGCAAAAGTCTAACCATTATTATTCCGGTCGCAGCATGAATTATTGAAATGAGCAAAACATTGATTTGTTTGTTCTCAAGTGGAACATGACGAGAGGCGAGCCATGGCGCATTAATATGTATGTGACCGCTATAGGGTCCCATTTAGGTTCTATCCATTTATACTCTGTGGAGATTTTAACTTTTTTTTTTAATTGTTATCTGCTAGAAGTAATATCGTATTAGATCGATTTTAAAGAAATCGCTATAACTAATTTTCATTTACTTAATCTCTGCTCTGCATTACTTTTATTAGCCAGTATGAAGAACATTTTATTCAATTCTTAACGGTAACCATTGACAGTGTCATATTCACACCAAACAAATAAAGAGAATGCGTTTTTATCAATTAGTTAACTGTCGCGTGTGTATCAATTTAAAAACATTATTTAAGCATGCGGGTCTGTGCAGCTGTTTGTATCTATTTTTTATTCGACTCTATAGGCCAATGTAAAGCTCTGTTTAATTTTTAAAGCTACCTACAATTTAATTACATCTATCGAAAATTATTTCTTTGCTTATTTACGAAATTAATTGAAGTAAAAAGAAATGTATATCATACATTAATTTAATCATAAAGACAATTAAACTCATATATTATATTCACTGCGATGTTCGAACCTAGCTTATTTCATCTCACTTTCGAATGATGTGTCTTCCCCAATGATTCATCAATGTCATAAATCAATAATTGTATATGACTCATACACTTTTCGTAAACAGTCAAACTAATTAATTATTTTGAACAATCAGAAAGGTTTTAACTGAATTTGTAAATTTATAATTTCGCGTCTAACAAACTACTTTCTTTATATAGCAAAGCGGTATGTATAATTTTGATCCATTACTATATGTACCTAGGAAATTAAGTTTATTATTAAGCATTCTAGACTTATAGTCTCTTAAAAATATTTACGATGACTTCATAACTAAGCAAAACATGGTTACTTTGTGTATACATCTGGATCATTATAACTCGAGAGGAATTCGTCATTCCCATGTTTTTACATATATTATTTTAATTTATTATTCGCAAAGAATTGACCGTAAACGCTTTCAGTCGAATGTCATAATCCTTCGATCGATAGTGAAATGTAATTGTGTGATTCAATATTAGGATCATGTAGGTATAGAACTATTTCAAGGGGCTTTAGAAAGTGAAAAAAACCAGCAGCCTAATGACGTGTCCCAAATGTGAGTTCAGACAATTGACAGCCCACTTTAATGACTTTAATGGCCAATTGCACCCAATGGACTCCAATTTGTTGAATGAATGACGTTTTTGTAGCTATTTCTGAACTTCACAAAAGTATTCATGAGGCGGTTTTCATTTTCATTTTTTAATTTTATTTAAGTAAATATAAAACCTTTTCAATCTCAACTACCTATTCTGTGTCTGTAATTGTATTTTTGTACGTTTTAGAATAATATTGCTTGTTCTAGTTCGTAGTTCATTAATAAAGTTAAAAATAAATTTCTCATTAGCTAATGAGAGAGCTTTTCGTAATGATAATCGGATTACATTGTGTATACTGTATAGCATACTTACGATTACTGATACTTTGCAAAAAAAAACATGCAATGTTTTTGATTTTTACAATATGCTTATTTAATTTTGTAGGTATTCGTTCACAGCCAAAGTAATTTTGACAGATATATAATAATGACTTAAACTAGGATTAAGTACATCAACAAAGAAAACCGCAAACTCCGTTGTGAGCATCAATTTGAGCATGAGAATAATTAAGCGTGTTTTCCTCCATTAGTCATATTCATTAATTAGGAGAACTATAATACAAGTTACGGGTATTTAATATGCGTCAAAAATTATAAAAAATATAAGGCTACCAACTCGCTATAGATCCACAATCGATATGGAATGTTAATGTATGTAATGCGAAGATAATGCATTCGCCTAATGCTTTCAGTGCTCAGCGGTTGCGCCACGGCCCGCCCTCAAAAATAACACGGAATATCGGTCACAGACTCCGCGGAATGAACGCATCGCATTAATTGGTGCTCTGTACTCGTACATCACTATCGCGCTGGACGTGCCGCGCGCGGACGCTTCCGTTCGATTTGAATATGGAAAACGCGCGAACGTAATATCAATTGCCCGTTTTGTTTTTTTTTTTAATTCGACGATCGAATCGCACAGATTACGGCGATCGTAGCCCCCGGGTCGACGATGGGTGTCCGCGCGAGGTTTTCGAAGGTTCACGTTCGGAAGAAAACGCGATAAGCAATCGCGGCCGAGTGCAAATGTCGTCGATATCGAACAGACGCTAAATTAACACAATCGGTACAGTTACGGTGTACGATGTACTGAGGCTCGTCCCTTCGCGGAATCCCGATCGTTGATTCATACACCGGTTATCGTTACGAACAGAATGGTTGAGGTCACGAGTTGGATTCCGCACGCCGTAGTGGAGACACTGCGCGATCGCTCCGCGCAGCCCGTCATCGCTTGGCTCACAGCGATTCGCGGGGCCACGGAGGAATACGACCCGATGGTGGTGGTCCGGCCGCCGTCTGCGGCGTCGCAAGAGTCCGAGGCGGACTTCGCCTTCAACGAGATACTATCGCAGCTGGGCAAGGAGATATACAAGCTAGATGAGTACCAGAGACACCTCGCTCCGTCGCAGGCGCAGATATCGCACAGCATCCTCGACATCTTCGACGAGTGCCTAGAGGACATGAGCTTGCCGGAACGGCCAAAGATGGAAAAACTTAATAGTGAATCTCAACCTGTGACGAGCACGCCTAAAAGCGACCTTTCTTCCGAACCGCCACCCCTCCCGCCGCGGAAAGTGACAGCTTACGACAACACCGTTAGCGGAAGACTGTCGCAGTCGTCGGACAGCGATTCGGAGAGCACGATATGGAGCTACAAGGAATGCGATCCGGAGGAGGTGAAGAAGGACACCTACGCGGCCGTCTGGTCGCACTCGACCGGCTACCACAACTCGGACGACATACTCCGCAGGGTGCTGTCCCGCGCGGAGCGGCGCGCGACGATATCTCGCCTGTCGTTCGACACGGCGAGCGACTTTTCGCCACCTTCGTTCTCCGTGTACGCGCTGCACGAAAGCGACAGGTGCTCAGTCGCCGATATGACGCCGGACAAGCCGTGCGACGACGGCTACGAGCCGGTGCGCGACGCGATCACGGACGAAAACATTTACGAGGAGATCGAGTACGGGTACAGTTACACGGACGAAGGGTGCTCGTGTGGCGGCAGTGGCGAGGTGGACAGTTTGATAAGTGCCAGTTCGGGGCTGAGTCGCGACAGTCCCTTGTACGCGAACTTGAGGGACAACGACGCGTACGCCATACCGCCGGATGTGATCTTCTGGAAAAACTCGCTCTTGGATCCCTTTTGCAACGAAGATGAGGAGGACGAGGTAAGTGGCGGACATTCATCGATGTTGACAAGTAAATCTGCTATTCTCCCGAATGTAAATAGCATTTAATCAAAGGATACTCGTTTGACGTTCTCGAAACTTTATGATACAAGATCGAAGGTTTCATATCTAAGATTATCGTCATATAATTATTTTTATTAAAGTAGACATAAGTACTTGTTTATACATCCTAATAGCTTTGGCGCCATTTTTATCGCATTTTGTAGGAAAACGAATATGAGTTACTGCACGTCTTATCAAACTAATTTGCCGAGAAACTAAGATACTTTGTAATACTAGTAGTTGAGTTTAACATAATATTTATTAGTACACGAAGAGTACGTCAAGAATAATTCTCTACTCAATAGTTTGTTGTCGTCAATTAAGATCGTAATTAATAAATGTTGCAATTAGGTAAGTAGATGAATATAAAATTGGTATTTTTATTGTGTTTTACTATTATTAAGCTATTTATAGCTAAAGCGGAGGACTTACATTATAAATGTACTTTTTACATAATTAAAATGGTGACTATCTGACATGCTATATCGTATTAATGGCATTCAACTTAAAATATACTGTCTGTAGTTTACGCGAGTAGTACACGTCTTTCCGTGACCTTTCGGCTGCTGCAAAGCATCCGAAACGTCGGGCCTAAGTAAACAATGTTTTTAAAATAAGTTTAACTAATATATATCGCGTTTTAAACCGTTAAAGTGTTTTATTTAAATGCCATTCAACTTTTAAATTGCTATTTGTTTAAAAGTATAATGTAATATTAAAGATATGATTTATCACAAAGTCCGATTACCTTTCGTCACAATCGCGTCAGTTCATTTCGAACGTTGCCTCCCATATCTTTGAAGTACTGAATTACGGTGAACCGTACAAATAAATACGACAGCGATACTTTAGCAAAGTCAACGTTGCTTTGTTAGCATAATGATTAACATCCTGTTCGATCATCACGTTGCGGCACCCGTAATGGCCACCGAATTAATATTCTAATAAAATGCGGCCATATATGGTTCACCACCATATTGCGTATACGCAATGAGGTTAAAAGGTGCGATTCTAACAATGAATCGTTTTGAGGCATGTCAAAGTTATTATATTATGCGGTTGAAGTATCAAAACCGTAACTCACGTGGCATTTGATTGCAAAACATAAGGACGTCTTTATTTACCCGCGGAATCGCAGCGAGGAATAGATAATGATTTATTTAAATATGTACTTTAAAAATCGGACACCAAACTTACAATCAATGCATAGAAAATATAATCAAGTGCTTGAACACCTAACACTAAATTTATGCGGTGTTGAAGACCTGAATTGTAATACCATGTAGTTACTTTTTAATAAAATACTTATAACGGTTTAAAACGTGACATATATTAGATTTGACTTTGTCGTTCGGGACTTGATTTGATATTCAGTCCCCTCGTGATTACGCCTGCTAAACTAAATTAAATAAATTAAAAATAAGGTAATATTTATTTTAAATGTGTAAACTACAGACAATACAATGTTACTCAAATTCTTGACAATATATTCTTCAAAATTTTGCAATTAGCAATTCACAAGATTAATATTTATTTAATAATATCAAATATTCAAAATACACATCGGTGTAACAATAGCCTTCTTAACATTTCTGAGATTATGTAAACAGTAAAAAGTTCCTATAACAACCCATTGTTTTCCTACCTGTGTGAGGTAATTCTGATATCTCTCTCATACTTCAAGCAACGAAAAGGGACAGGTATTTGATGATATCTCTTTCTACGTGTGAGCGAGATAACAATAGGAGAAAGTTTCAATGAACGGCCCAAAGTTTTCTTGGAAGTATTTTACAAATTATCAAGTTGTGGCTTTTGTGAATTATGATTAGTTATCGTGAACCTTTAAATTTTTTTAATTAATAATGAGTCTTTATGTTATATCGTGACGATCAAAGACAGTGAAAAGAAAGTTTCGTGTACACACAAAAATTAGCTTGACTTGACATGTTATAAGAATTACGTCTGTTTTAAATATGATTATTCTTAAACATAATAGTACGTAGGAGGTTTGAGGTAAATGTAATATTGTGTGGAGTTGCATTACACTTATGTTATGGCACACATTTATCGTGTTATTAGGTAATACTTTCGTGCATTCACCCTGGCCAATACTAGATTATCACAACGAAAAAGTTTTTAGTGCAAATCAATTATTTTCTAGTTCACTAAACATGCACAACATATGTATGATAAGCCTTCGTGTTAATACTTCCAATAAAATGCTAATACAAATTTAAAACTGGATTAGTGAACATTCTCTGATTACAAAAAAAAGGGTGTTTTATAAATTGCCTCGGGCAGGACTTGAACCGGCATCCACAGCGTTCCGTGCTGTCGGTCTAACCAATTGAGCTACCCATACACGTCCTCGTGTAATTTTTTCAACCTATTTAAAAATGCACCTCTCACACTTGCGCAACGGTTACTTCGATTTCATCTTAAATACATAATAAAAGATACTTCCTTAAACTATTAAGTAAACAGACACAAAGGAACATTAAACAATAATTGCAGTTAAAATTAATTACCGGGACTTCATTTGGGGGTCAAACGTAAAACATCAATATTTTTATCTGTCAGTGCCACAGATAATACAAAGATGAATAGTTTTTAGGTCAAACTTCCGTCTTCACCGTTTTAAATCATTGTTATCATACATTTGATTTAGGCTAAATAAGTATTTTTATTTTAAATTTATACTTATGACTTGTTCAAAGTGCAATACGGCGTGTGGACGGTTTAAAATTACTTAACCATATCTAGTATAAATGAAATTGTATAATTGATATATGTAACCATAGACCAATGACAGATGTTAAATAACACAATTTGGATCTCAAAAATCTAAAGAAGATTCTATTTTGAGTTGTTGTTTATCTTGTTAATTTTTTCGCAAGTTTGGAAACATAAACAACTCTTCAATTATTTACGTATTATATAATATAAAACTAGTATTAAACTTTTGGTTGTTTGATAGTGTAAAGTGTTTTCTTATATTAATAAATACGCACTAGCTAAAATGGATTGTTGCAATAATGTTACGTAACATTTACTTGCAAAAAAGTAACTGTTCACATGTCTAACGCTCCTCCATAAATAAAACATCACCGATTAACTCAATCGCGAACGAGCACCATTTACAGCAATTTGTAATGTTCATTAGAAAAGAACATTCGCTGCTGTTTGCTGACAATTCCAAGAGGACGTTGCTCTTCTTTTCAACGATTCCGTAGATTGCAAAACTATAAATGTCGTTTTTTTATTTTAAAATATCATCGAAACACTTCCTTTTGCTAGGACTTTCGTGATGATTAAGCATTAATTCACCACTATAGCTACGTGTAAACATTTTTAATTCAATGTGTTTCTTTACCATATTGCTCAAACAAATAAAAATAGACAATAACTATTAGCCTTGTCTATAGTTAACGCGAGTAGTACACTTTTAAATAAAACACTTTAACGGTTTAAAACGCGATATATTAGTTAAACTTATGTGAAAATGATTTTTAACTTCGGCCCGACGTTTCGGATGCTTTGCAGCAGCCGTGGTCACGGGGAGAGACTCCCGGTTAAACTAATATACCGGTTTTAAAACCGTTAAAGTCTTTTATTTAAACTATTGCCTTGCCATGTTCACAACAAAAAATCTGATCAGTGCTAACTAGAAAATTGAAATGGTCATAAACCCGTCGGTCCTTTTTGCACCATCGCGTCCTTTTCAATAAAACATAAGGTGGTTAGAATTTTGCGTTTTCTCTGTAAGGGTTTTAAAGGGTAATAATAATAAAAAGTAATCATTCGCGTACAAGATCTATGTACTATTAAATGTGGAGATGGTGTTCACTTTTTTAATTTTTCCTTCCCGTTTATTACTGCTAAAATTTCTGCTGCGTCATGCAAAGACCGGATTTCACTCACATAGTCGGTTTTAACGAACGTAGTGGTGAAGACATTCGAAAGTTATTCGTTATTTCTATAAGAATAAAATCGCGAATGCTTAAGTAACGTCCATGAAACTATGAAACAACCTACATTAAAGCTTCACTGGCTTTCCTTTTTTTACCATGATTGACTAGTAGGGGTTCTGAATACTAAGTAAATGAAGTGGTTTTATAAGCGGCCCCCCCCCCCAAAAAACCCCCCCCCCCCCCATTTTTTTTTCTAAAAACCATTGTTTTCGCTTGTCATGCATACACAATACTCCTGCAGAAATCAATATTTGTAAAATATTTATATAACTTATGCTACATACTCCTTCTTTGTCGGGCTCATTGGTCTAATGGTAGCAATGTATTGTTAAAAATAATCAACGGATCGGTGATATCCTTCATCAGGTCTAAGTTGTTCGTTCAATCCGTTAAGAAATATTCAGAAACATATTAAGACTTCGTAATCTGGATGTGAAGTGGGATTATCAAACCGGTGTTGGAATACTCGGACAGTTTAATCGCGCTTCGGTTTCAGACCGTGGATTTCCGATTGTACAGAGCTAGAATAATTGAACAGTACGTCTCGGCTAGATGTGCTTGAATGGTAGCAAGTGAGCCTCGTGTCTTTCTGTCCTGTTCTCTCATAAAAAACCTCAACACAATTGTGCCATTGTCGACAACTACGCGACGATAGGAAAGTTACGAATGATTGTTTTGAACGCATTTTTCTCTCACACGTAAAAGCACATTCCCGATGGCAGATGGCCTACACTCAGCTAATCTTACGATTTATTGATCCCTGTTTCAATAATATTTATATCGTATGCGCTGCGATTAGTTTTTAATGCATTCTGTTACATAATCTGTGCGCTACCATTAATATGTGGTCCTTTTACTGATGCCTTATAGTTTAATTCGAGCGTATCTAATAGAGATGGGCCGAGTATTCGGTTAATACTCGGTACTCTGCGTACTCGGTTTTAATAACGAGTATACGTTGTTAAA